TCAGCCAACTTGGGTCAGAAGGGAGCCAAGGTGGACCTCCAGTCCCTACCCCAATCTAATCTCTTCCTTAGACCACTGAAGTCATCTGGAGTCTCGGCCTCAGACTTGTTGTGGTCATGTGTCTAGGAGGGATTAGTGATTGAAGGAGCTGGTGCTGCCAAGTCTCAGATCTTTCACGTGAGGCCCATTGGCCTGAGAAAGAGGAGCTGGACAAGGTGATCCATGAGGGATAAGGTGATCCTAGGAATGCAGACATGGGAACCCTCTGTGAGAACACGAGACAAGTCCATCTGCCTCTCCTTTTGCAGCTCCTGGGAAAGGCTCCAGCTCTAAGTGCAAGGGAAGGATTCCTTCAAGCAGTCAAGATGTACAGAGGGCCTTCTGGATGCCAGGCATGGTGACCAGCACGAGGGGCAAGGAGACCAGTAAAGGCACAGTTACAGTCAGGGATGGGAGGAGAACAATGGCAGGAGTTCCTAACCCAGACTCAGGGGCTTGGGGAAGGTTTCCTAAAGGATGTGATGTCTACACTGATCTTGGCCAAGGAGTCGAAGTTGACCGGGGAAGAGGGAGGGCAGTAGAGGGAATGTTCCAGGCAGAGGAAACAGCATATTTAAAGGCCAGGAGACAACAGAGTGGTACCATCTCCGTCCCCAAGGTCACTGACATGGACATGGGCTGTGAAGGGGAGCATGAGAGCAGAGAGCCTGGAGAGGCAAGCAGGGGACAGGTGAGGCAGGTTCTCACACACCATGGCTACCCTAAAAAAGTGGGGAGCTATGGAAGGATTTTAAGCAGGGGATGACAGCATCATATTTGCCTTTTAGGGCACTCTCTTTGTCTCAGACAGAAAGAATAGAGTTGCAAGGAGGTGGAGGGGGTGCCTGGCCACAGGAGGTGTGTCAGATGGTTGTAACTGCTCTCAAGGTTAGAAATGATGGCCGGGAATGGTGACTCACACCTATAATTCCAGTACTTTGGGAGGTCAAGGTGAGAGGGTTGCCTGAACCCAGGGGTTTGAGACCTGCTGGGCAACTTGGTGAGACCTTGTCTCTACAGTAAATCAAAAAATTAGCTGGGAGTGGTGGCGCGTGCCTGTAGTTCCAGCTACTTGGAAAGCTAAGGTGGAAGGATCTCCTGAGTCTAGCAGGTCGAGGCTGCAGTAGCCATGAGCATGCCACTGCACTCCAGCCTGGGCAACAGAGTGAGACTCCTACGCAAAAAAAAAAAAAAGAAAGAAAGAAATGATAGCCGGGCTTGGTGGCTCAGCCTGTAATCCCGCACTTTTGGGAGGCGGAGGTGAGTGGATTGCCTGAGCCCGCGGGGTCGAGACCCGCCTGGGC